AAAATCCACCATTTTAGGGGAAAAAAAGCAAATGTTATTCACACACAATCATTTAATTTTTTTTTTTAATAAAAAATAGACTTAAATATGATTGCTTACATATGTTTTGTATCAAGGGATTTGCTTTAGATGAAGGGATTTTAAAACCAAAAAATTTTTAAATGACTGAACTTAGCTTTGCCTGTTTAGGTCTAGCAAGCACCACTCTTGTATCTCACAGATCCTACTCAGCAGTGTTTTCTTTTAAACCATCAAAGTGTTCATAGATAGAAGTATAAATTCTGGATTTATTTTTTAATTATTTTTTATTCCTCTTTTTGATGGGTCCTTAAGGCATTATAAGCCAATCATGTTATGGACTTTTGCTCCAAAGTGCAAAAAGGAAACTTCAGTTTGCCAAAGAGTAGCATGACTGCTACAATGTCTTTGAAGTCAATATTATTTACTGCATCACAGTCTAAGTTGGAGTCTTAAATTCATGATGTTGTTCTGTTTTAGTATGTGAAACCTTGATATTGGTCAATAAGAAATCCTATTATATAGAAGATCTCTTATATCTTACTAGCTAGCAGCTCATTGACGTAATGATTCTTTATATTTTAAAAGCCCTTTGCTCTCTATCTACTCCAAATGATGTATGTTCATAAGTCAAGATCTCTACACAACAGTGCTGGAAAAAAACTGAAAAAAAAAACCAAACAAACCAAACAACTGAGCAATGCAGACGTTCTCCAAAGGTTTATCTTTGGTCATTGTATTTACTTTTTAAAACTAGAGCCATTTTCGTAATTTAGGGAGGGGGAAAAAAGGGTCCATGAGATGCTAATGCCTTGCCTAAATTCTTGGAAGCAAATAGGATATATCAATTGAAGAAAAATATGATTCTTCTTAAATAGTTAAGGACAAAAAGTACTAAAATCACTCCATGTAACAGTGTGAGCCATAATCACATACATTTATTACATCAAACACAGATATTAGACTTAGCTTTCTGGTTAAGCATCTCCATCTTAATTCCTTAGAGAACAAATGTTATGTCATGTTTCATAATTATAACTTGTAATGAAACAATGCATCTAAGGGTAAAAAAAAAAAAAAATCAAAATACCTATACTGCCATCTTTTGTTGTACAGTTTCCCTTATACCCAGTGGACAAGATGCTCTTGGTAAATTTGCACGAAAGCAGAATGACTCCACATAATATCAAGTCAGATACTTAGAAGTATACCTGCTGATGTTTAGGTTCTATAAGATGCAAGAGTATTACATGTGACCAAATGCACACTGCTTGCTTTTGCCACTATAAATCCAACTGATAAAAATGCTAACCTTAAAAAATGAAGTAAGCTAAAAAATAGTTGCTGGGGAGAGGGGTTGCAAAATACTGGGAAATATATGTATCTTATAAAAGGAAGTGCACTGACCCATGTAAAGCAATATTTAGACACTGCAGTGTGTATTCATAGCAACACACTTTAGATATAATGGAAATATCCACATTTTATCATCTAGATTAAATGATCATGAAAATAGACCTATAAAATATGAAAATATGTGCTTTGATATATCATAATTTCATTTTGGTTATTTATATCATATGAAATGTAAAAATATGGAGCCTTAAAACGTATTCTCAAATCACATTCTGGTTTGCATCTCTAAGTTTTAAAAACGAAGCAGTTGGAAGCACAATTTATATACCTGTAAAGCAAAAAAGGGTACAGTTTTAAATAATTATGTCAAGAAATGACAACTGTACTCTTTGTAGAAGCAGGGATGAATAATTACAAAGCTGGGACATAATTAAGCAATTTTGACTGTCGTATTCTTGAGCTGTCTTTCTGATGTGAAGTGCTGTCATGCCCAGAAACACACTTCACACTGGACAGGCATCTTCCACTTTGATCTACACTATGCCAGTGAAATGAGGTCATGGTCTGGTCATTAAACAAGGCTGCCTCATCTGGCTTAGCGCCTCTTACCCAGCCAGGCTTACCCAATCTTTATTAAAATCAGGCATGATACAATGTTCAATATTTTGACAAAATAAAACATAAACATCACAGAATAATGAAGTTTAGCTCACTTACATAGTGAGATGGAACATTGCATTGTAACGTTAAACTGTTTTCTAATAAATGACTGCATCTCTCCAAAAGACAGTCATATCACAAACAGATGTATTTTAAACAAAGGATGAAATGAAGCAAAGCACAAGAAAGTACTCTGTTCTGCTAAAAAAAAAAAAAAAGAAAGAACAAATAGGGAAAAATGAGAGTAGAAAAATTTATACAAAATAAAGTATTTATGACTTAGTGACGACTGGTGATTGCTAGATACTTTTGCACTTGAGCAAAACTAGTCAGATGGAAATTTCTTGCTTTTATTCTCATTTTTGTGTATTTTTTCTTGGTGGGGTATTTTGCTCTCCCAAGTATTTCATGTCAAGACTAAAATGAAAACAACTCACCACATCACAGCCTCTTTAGATCATCAGTGTTTTTTATGCTGAATAAGCCATACTATCTCCTACCTACCATAGGAAAAAAAAAACCAACAACCTAACTTAAGACTTTCTGTTTTGTTTTGTTTTTTTTGGGGGGGGAGGGAAGGGGGGAGCTGTTTGTGTGTTTGTTTCATTTTCTCTGAAAAAGCAACTCTAATAGGCTTACTGTTGTTACTACATCTGGCAGAACAACATTTCCATGTGGCATCCACCAGCACAAATACTAACCACTCAACTCTTCCTGGCAAGCAGAGGCTGACACAGTGACACTACATTGGGGGAAAGAAAGAAAACATTCTTATGAAGTTCACTATCAGAAGGGTATCACTAGGTCGACTTCTTAAGGAGTTTTCCTGATAAACAAACCAGGATATGCTGCAGCCTTCCTCTTAGTTTGGATCAAGGTGCATTCTCCTCTAACTTGTTTAAGAAAGCTTGGACTATATTACCACTAGCCGTTTGTTAAATTTCGCTGAAGCTGGTCAAAAATATCAACAAACATATGGGAGAGGAACTGATGAACAGAGCACACAAGATTCAGAAAACCTGACAGCTGAAGAATAAAAAATATTATGTATTCAAAATGAAACATATGATAGAATTTGAAAGTACAGTTATTGCACACACCAAGTTTGCGATATATAGAGGAATGCTGCTTAGTCTTTGAGTATAGCTATAAATAGCCACATGTATACATATCTGCATCTAAAAACACATGCAGAGAAGACTCTATGAGTGTTCCTCAGGCATAAAAAGAGTTTGCATGCATGCATACTAAAAGCACGAATATCCTAGGAAACAAGCACAAATTTAAAACAATTTTAAGAGGTTTATAATATCAGCTCTGCATCCAATTTAATATTTATTTTAAATTAGCCACTTCTGTAATATGTATATAATATTGTATGATAAGGGTAATTTTGTAACACCTTAAAAAGCATTAATTCACTCCATGGAAAGCATTTACAATGATTTTACCATCAGCAATTTGTACCAAACCATTTGTAAAGAAGAAAAAAAATCTTTAGTGTGGCAATAACAACAGTAAATTTGAGCCTTCTGCAAATTTGCTGAAATAAATGTATGTTTTAACATAAGACTTAGTGGGTAAATAATTCAAAACTATACAAAAGGTTCAATTACAGATATAAAAGATAAAGACGTTATCCTCAAATTTGTGAAGTAAATTACCCTTAGCTATTGACTGGTTTCATCTAGAAAAGAAACTTCAAATTTAAGAAACAGAAACATTCTGCTTTCTCTAACACTATTAAGTTGGTCAAAATTCAAAGAACTGACTCTGACATGAAAAAAAATCTAATTGCTAATGAAATTTAAAAGAAAAAACTTCACCAGATCCAAAATCTGATTAGGTAAGTATTCTAAAAGAAGACAATGCATGTATGCTACATCCAACACAATTCTGTTGTTGCATTTGGCCAGATTCAGCAAAGATGGCTCGGTGTGAATAATATATCCACAACAGATTAGAAATAAATTATTTCATTTATTACATAACTAAAGGCAGTGGTAAATGATCTATCAAAGCTATGCAAGTACCAGAACTGTTAACATTTTAGTAGTTATAAGTGAACCAGCCTGAATAAATTTGTTATGCACTACGACTGTATTCATGATAATGCACTTATCTAGCAACACTGTTATGCTTCCAAACAGTTCATTTCCATAACTGCTACAATGTCATTCAGCATTATTGGAAATCTGCAATAAATTATTGATGTTGTATTTTAGAGAACAAAACATCAAACAGAAAGCAAGTAGACTGAAAACTTGAGTGAAGTTTTAAGGAAGGTCTTCAGCACTAAAAGACTCTGCAGCTCAGCTTGCTCTTATCGTGTATCGATCAGCAATGGAAAAAGAAGGTAAAGTGGGGAATTCTCATCTCATTCTGTTTGCATCAGCAGTATGCAGCACGCTCAGAGTTGATGCAAGTAGTATCAAAAGCTCAGATTACTGAAAATATCTCTCTGATTTTGTCAATGCTTGCTGCAAGCGACCACATTAAGAAACATCACTGAAAACTAGAATCAGCTGGTCCACTAAAAGCCAATAAACACTATAGGTGTGAGGTCTGCGACAGACATTTGTGTTTAACATACAAGGGAGGGGACAACTTGTCAGAAAAATTGCATTCTTTCCCAAAAGCATATCACATAGTTATATATTTTTAGACAGTGTAAAAATATCCTTTTAAGCTCAGTGACACATATTAGTCACTTTGTTACATGAAACAGAGGTTGGAAAACAGGAATTTGATAACATAACCACAGTCCATTAACCAAATGTAACAGTAAAGTTTGATATTAAAACACAGAAAAAATTACTAAGGACCCTTACCTGACCACATTTACCAGTCCTTTCATTTGAAAGATTTTGTTTGTTACTTTACTCAAAGACACAGCCAAGTTTTTGGAGTTATTTTAAAACAGTGTTAATGAATCACATTGTTGTTACTTCTAGTAACGCTCCTACCTTAGCATCCTTGGGCTTAACCACTTTCATGAAGGCACCTCTTACTAAGGCTTCCTCTCTCTCCCTCCTGGTTACTTTCCGAGCATCAAGAAATTTCAGGTTTGTCAATTTGTGCAGGACAAAATATCTAACAGATAGTAAAATGCACACAGTTAAAATCCACTAATAAACAATCACAAATTAAATTACTAAAAAATAACAGCAATAAACAGCAACAGTCTGTTTCCTCTCTCTGTTCACCTTTTTCATGCAATACAGTTTATGTAAAAAGTTGCAATACTTACTTTACTCTCTCAAACAAAACTTGTTGTAAGCTGACCAACAATTTAATAATGGATGGATCAAACAGATTTAAAAAAATATCACTGTGGGCATGTATGTTGCCTGTAGGTATTAGTGAGGTATAAGGTATACTCAGAAATAGAATAAATTGGAAATTGTCATATTTTCCTGAAAACACAATGATCAACAACATGAGAAATGTGAACAGAAAATCAGGGAGCAGTATAATTTGTCTTCCACCATAAACACTAAACCACCATTCTTTGTCCTGTAAGAAGTGTATGCACGTGTTCAAAATCTTTATTAACAAAGACTTTGTCAAGAGAAAGCACGGAGAGTTATTCCTGGTCTCTGCTTTCCAGAACTACATTTTGACACAGGCATCATTTGGAATGAGAATTCTCATTTGGTCCTGCTAGACAGACAAGGTGTCCTTATAGCATATGTATACCAGCTCAGGATTAAATGCAGAAGCACACAGGGAGAGACTGTTTTTATTAAAAATATTTTAAGAATTCAAAGTTCTTGGTAGGATCCATCTATATTCCATTATTCTATTTACCTTTTTTACTCAAAGTACAGCATCTTTTCAGCCTCAAAAAAGTACCATTGCCTCCTTGCTTGTAAAAGGAGAGAACATGGCAGATCAGAAACAAAGTAAGGCACACAACCATGGCAAATCAAAATATCCAACCACCTCAAGTACATGTTATTTACATTTAGTCAACCAAATGTGAAGCAGACATTGCAAAGTGAGGGAAGTGCCAGACTTTTCCTGGCAGGGGGTAGAAAGGTGATTGATAATGTTACCCATGCCTAGCTGCTTTGCATAAAACTCCAGTCAGTCAGAGAACCTCCTAACCATACCAATCTCTTTTGGCACTGGGAGGAAGAAATCAAAGTAACAGAAAATTCTGCATAACATAACACGTTGAAAAAGAGCAAAACACAAAAAATGTGTTATAAAATGTAAAAGTTATAATACTGTCCTCAAGACCATATAAACATGCAGAAAAGACTATAAGACTCCCCTTCTAGTTGTAGAGAGCAGTAAGATCCCTCCTGAGCCTTCTCTTTTCCAGACTAAACAGTCCCAGTTCCCTCAACTATTCCTCATCAGACTTATTCTCCAGACCCTTCACCAGCTTTGTTGCCATTCTTTGGACCCACTCCAGCACTTCAATGTCTTTCTTGTAGCAGGGGGCCCAAAACTGAGCACTGGATTTGAGGTGCAGCTTCCCCAGTGTGAGTACAGGTGGATGATCACTGCCCTGGCCCTGCTGGCCACACTATTTCTCATACAGGCCAAGATGCCATTGCCCTTCTTGGCTACCTGGGCACAAGCTGGCTCATGCTCAGCCAGTCATCAATTAGCACCCCCAGGTCCTTTTCCACCAAGCAGCTTTCCAGCCACTCTTCCCCAAGCCTGGAGCATTGCATGAGGTGAATTGTTAAGAAGTTAATTGAAATGCTCAGACAATTTAAATATGAATTCTCAACCTATGACTTTCAATGATACTAGAAGAAGTAAAAGAGAACCACTTTACAAAACAGAATATGTCCTAAGACTGTTTATTAAACAACAGCTACAGATCTACCAGACTGACACATTCTCAGACTCCTCCCAGCTTTGCTGGCTGCCCTTCCAGTCCTCCCTGTCATTTTGCTGGCCCTTATCTTTCAGTGGAGGAGAAGCTATCCATCTTGCATTGCTGGCAGAAAAGCTCTGATGACAACAGATTCTTTCAAATGAAGACATGTACAGAAGGAAACAATATGTCAGGAATGAAGAAGAGTGAAGCTAAAAATGACTAAAGACACCCACTAAGTGTAGGGTGAGAAAAGATGAATATTCAGGTGAAGAAAACATCGGTATTAGAAAATCAGCAAATGTTTAATGATGGAATGAAATATGCCATTGAAAAGCAGGCTGCAACAAAAATGACAACAGACTAAGACAGCACTGTCATCTATGCTGACTTTGGATCACAGCCCTAATGTCAGTCTCTCAATCATTTCAAAAGAGCTTCAAATTATAATAGCATTCCTTTATACAAATGTATTTTTGTATTTTTAAGCCATCTTGACTGCACTCCAAAAAACAGAATTGGCACCAGTACTTGCCAATTCAAAAACAAAACCAAAAAACCTACTCAAGTAAGCTAAACAGCAAACTACACCACGAGTCACAGGTTTGGAGTTGATTTATTTATTTTCTTTTAACTTGCACTCCTGAAGGACAGCAAATATTAAAAAGTAGGTAACCATAAAGGTTATCCCACCGTTAGAACGAAGGTATATCAGTGATTAATTCTTTTAAAAGGTGATTCAAAATATGATCCCACTTATTCATATTCCTTTTACTAAATCTGGGATAAAAAGATTTCTATATTATATGAAAATAATAAGATACTTTTATTAAACAGCTGAAGAAAAGCATTGGGCTTCCTGGGTATATTTTAGCTAGAAATATGAAGATGCAGCTTCAATCTAAATGAAACACAAGTTTGCCATAAAAAAATACAGGAAAGGATTACCAAAGCCCTGGAATGAACACTTTACAATATCAATTCAACCCTTGTAAATTTAATCCAGGGTTATTTGTTGCACAAAATCTCTTTACTGTGATGTATGACTTAGTTACTAAGGTTATCACAGCAGTATCCTAAAGTTGCATAGTACATAAAACATTTCAGTTAACAATGCAGGGAGGTTAACTCCCACAGATAACCTGCTATCAGAGGGTTAGACCAGATGACATGCCTCTGTCAGCTTTCAGGAGCTATTGATGGTTCAATCAGTTTGTTTTGAAGGTAAAGTACAACAAAAGGGCACTAAACTTATTCAAACTGTCAACGGGGACTATGGAATGTTGCTTGCAGGTAAGTAATTTTGGGTGGTTTAAGACTATTATCAAACACCAATGGCTGCAGAAAAAGACAGCTACTAATAACACAGAATGCAGCAATCATAAAATGCCTTATGGCAGGTACTATGATCCATAAATTGCATGACACATTGTACCTGTTTTAGTCTTGCAAAACAGAACACTGTTTAATGAAGAAAGCCCATCTGAATTTTACATTATAAGTTTAGAAAGGTTTATTTTAGGTTACAGGTTGAGGGGCAGGGTCTCCCTGCTCAGCTGTCCTTCCTCTCCCCCCTTTAATTGTTTTGAAACTTAGCAGTGCTCCATGTGCTCTGAGACTGTTGTTACTGGGTTTTAACATCTTTGCAGTGGTGTGAGAAAATGTTAGTGTTTTCAGTGATGAGGATAAAGGTGACCTCCAAAAACAGAAAAAAAAACAGACACAGGAAGGTGCTTAGAGTTCCATTTATCACTGCCTGTAAACTGATCTTCTAATTCATGATGGTTTAAGGAAATGAATGATGCGAGTTAAATTGCATCTGTTGTCCAGAATCATCTCCCCTTCCTTAACTCCCAGTGCCAAGAGTCCCATGAAAATAAGCTAATAATAGATATCCATCACACACAAACAGGAACACTCAGAGATCGAAAAAGACCAGAGAATATCACATTTCATGTTATTTCAGTCTTAGTTAAGTGAAAATGACAAGGAAGATTAACAATTCATTTACCAATTTTGTAAGTGTTGCATGTGATTAGTACTATTTTAACAGTTTTTACACAGACCTGTCAAGATATTGGAAAAGAGGGACAGGCTTGAGGGGGCATTTTCAAAGGAATGCAATGAGTCTGGGATTTAGCTGCTATTGACACGGGCAAAAGCTCAGTGGTGCAAAGCCTTCCTTTGAAGAAAGATGTTGAGTTGAGAAAGGGACAGAACAAAGTTAGCTGAGATCAGCTATTGCTATTTATTAAACAATACATGATGCTAGTTTTCATATAAAGAAATACTGTCTCTGATACTGACTCACCCTACAGCTTTTAATGAATCACAGACTTGTCATCTTAATTCTATCTTACAAACACATGAACTAAGACCTACCAGTTACCTTGCAAGTATATTCTCTGGGTGTTTCTAGTTCTTCACTGCGTAACAGTCATAAGGTCGTTACTTAAAACATAGTCCTTGAGCTATTCCTTCAACCCCAAAAATCAGTTATGGTTCACTCTTCTAGGAGAGTTTCACAGGTGAAGCAAAAGGGTTCTAAAAGAATGTGTAAGTGTTCCTTAAAGGATCACACGGAAGAAAGAAACAAATCTACTTTAAACATATGCAAGAAATTTGACAGTTCTGATCTAAAACACAGACGTGTAAATAACTTTTAGGTCAACTCCTTATTTTTGTTAAATAGCTACTGTGTAATTTCATTCTGACCTATTTTTTCAGTAGCCATTCAGGTTCAGGCATAAAAATTCTTTCAGTTTTAATGAGCTTTGGCATACTAATCCTTACCGTTATCAAAATGCTTCTAGGAAACTTTTATTCTAGATATGTGAACACCATAACAAATCAAACAAAAACAAAAAAAAAAAAACCCACACATAATATCATAGCATCTAAAGGGCTTCAATTCATTTATTACCACAGACAAGTAATTGGACAAGCAGACAAGTTGAACAACATGGTTGGCCTCCTGATACTGAAAGATAATGTCATCACCCATGAGCCATGCTATAAGAAAATCTTATGAGTGGCAATAAATTACTTGGAAAAGGATGTTTGGGGTTGCTTTTTGTTTTTTTTTTTCTCTCCTTCTACTACAAGAAAAGTATACTAAATTTGTATATAATAGTTTGTCAGAGAAAATAAACTTTTCCACTGAACCTTTAGTGAAAGACTATCGTAAGAACTAGATTCTGTATACTCCTTAATTTTGTATTTTTATTAACATAAACTGGAATATAAAACTGTACTA